AGCTTCCCCAACAGTTAAGTTCCTGTTCTGTGCCATTGCATAAATCATGGGCATCTTGGACATCAGACTTTTATCACCACACCATTTATCCTGCCAAAATCTAGCATTGTCCCCTCCCCCAATGTTGCAATGTGTGCAAACGAGCACTTTTTTTTTTACATACTCATTATGCATTTCCATAAACTCATGCCATGGGATCTGTTGGCAAAGCTGAGGTTTCTGTCTCTGCCCCTTCTCATCCATTTAGTCTCAATGATCCTCTTCACAAACTGTTTTCCTTCATTCAAATACCTCCAGACCCATTTACTTTGGAGAACTTTGTTCATGGTGGTGATTGTTCTGAGCGCCAGCCCACCCATTCTGATCAGGTGTTTTACTTCCTCTCAATTGACAAGATGATATCTCCTTCTGCCATCGATATAGCCCCAAAGGAATCTGTTTTGGATAGATTTAACCTGCTTGGCCACATGAACAGGGATGGTGAAAACAGACATGTAGTAGATGGGAAGATTAGAGAGTATACTTTTAATGAACGTCAATCTGCCTTCCTTTGATAAAAATCTCATTTTCCAGCTAACAAGCCTTCTACCAAACAAGTTAATAACCAATTCCCACCATCTGTTGTCTTTGTATTTTGCTCCTAGCAGAAAATCAAGGTATTTATAACATGTATCCTATAAGTAATATCCTTGGAGAGAATCTTAAGTCCAAATAGTATCTTCATAAAGCTCATTGGTCACAAAAGCTTGCAATCTTACAGAATGTCAATTGATTTTAATTTTCTTCACATACCCATATTGTTAAAAAGTTGTGAATAAATCATATCATAAATGATAATTTGTAACTAAATTATATATTAGATAGAACATAAGTTTTTTTTTTTTTCGAAATAAATACTCAGATAGAACATAAGTTAAAGAACTATACTCATGTTTTAAATCCATCTAATGTTCCTCTGACACCAAGTACACTTTGTCTACTACCAACTTGTAAAAATGAGTAAAGAGCAAAAATTTGAGCCAAGTAACCTCAAAAGTGAAAAACTATGTCTAAAAATTTGAAGAATCATTTTGAAAATACCGAAAATGGGTCCGAAGGTGGTTGATTTGGGGAAGGTGAATTGAAACAGGTCAATCGGTTTGAACTGGTCAATAGAGTGTCAGAAAACCACAGGCCAAGCACATTGGTCCTCACGCGTCGGCATCCGGTGAGCTTCTGGCAACAATCTTTTGATGGAGGATCCGTCTAGAAGCGATGGTGTCGGATCTGGTGTCTATGTTACTCCTGGTGGTCAGGACAGCGGAGTTGTTGAGTTTGCAGCGGCAGTCCTGTGAGTTTTGGTGAGTAAGGAGGATTCCGACGAGTTTCCCCAGCAAGGCATTGGGGTTTAATCGATTGGGGTCTTCAGACTACCTCACAAAAGTAGCCAGCGAACAAGCTGACCTGTTTTTCTGATTTAGAATTTTTATTTTTAATATATATATTTAAATGAAGAAGAGAGAGACAAGGTGTATATGCAAGAAGTAGAGGGTGTATTTTGGTAAGTGAACTGTTGGGCAATTAAGGAAATGTGATGGATCGAATTTAAACTCTAATACAAATTGATGTAGGAGAAAAAGAGCTTGAAAAAAAAATTTAGAGAAAATTTTATCGAGAACAAAAGTTAGAGATTTGGGATCTCAAGAATCAGAACAATGTTTCAATATTCGAATAATAATCATAAGTACTTAATAACTAAGGTAGGATTCTTTATTTATAGACACTAAGATACATTAAAAATAGAAAATTTAGAAGACCTAGTAAATGGAAAAATAAGTTAAATAAAAAGAATTAGGAAAATAGGAAGTCTAGAGAATAAGAAAATGAATCTTCCTATTTCTCTTTATTGTAAAACATTATAAAACTTGGAGAAAGAAATTAAATCTTTCTAATTCTTTTTAAATTAACTTCTTAAAAATGTTTATATTCTTTTATTGGTTCTGTCTCATATCTCCTATGAAGGGAATATGCACATTTTAGAAGCTCCCTATTCTGCACCAGTAAGATTTACTCAAAATTAGATTTATAGGAAAGCCATTTGTCACTAAGGAAAGGCTTTGGCAACTCTAATGTTGGAGAACTTTGAAATTCTTGTGGATGTATCAGTGCATTTTTTACTTTGAGTTTCTCCCTTTCACCCTGTTCATGCATGGATGTGCATGAATCTTAGTCCTGATTTTAACTGCTTATTTTCATTGTCTTGAATTTTGGGCTTTGAATTTAAATATGCTTGGTGTCTGTAGATCTTATTTTAACTAGTCAATGATATTTTTTTGGAGCCTGAGCAGATTATGGAAGCAGAAGTTGATGATTATGACTCAGATGGGAAAATTGGGGGAAGTTACTACCCTGAAGATGCATATACTGGTGAAGATGGCCAGCTCTCATGGTTTAATGCTGGTGTTAGAGTTGGAGTGGGGATTGGCCTTGGAATGTGCATTGGGATTGGAGTTGGGGTTGGATTGCTAATGCGTTCGTATCAAGCAACTACAAGAAACTTTAGGAGAAGGTTTCTCTAAATGGATATTTTCAATGGAAACATTGTTTTCCTGGTACATGGGGTTATAGGGAATATCTTTCAAAATTTTGATCGAAGTCTTAGAGACTGAGTTCATCAGAAGTGCTAAACTGAGCAATATATGAAAGCACTGACTTGCAGGAGTTTTGGTAGCTAGGATGGAAGTTGTACAGATTTTTTGTGTGGAAGTTTACTTTTGGGTTTCTTGATGAAGAGCTCTCTGATGTTGTGGTGAAGTCTTCTTCTGTCTACTGCAAATAGCTGATGGATGTGAATATGTGGTGAAGTCTTCTTCTGTCTACTGCAAATAGCTGATGGGATGTGAATATGCTGTGCGAGTGAAATGTTGGACTTTCATGGACTCGAAATGTAAGACTGCACAAGGTTCTTCAGAGACTGGGATGAGCTTGTGTAGAGAATTGTTCAGTAGCTGGACTGAGTTCTTTTATGGGTTGTGGTTTTTGCTTGCATAAAAATGTAATCTATTTGTTCATTTCATTTGTAGAGAATTTACCCTGTTGTTTAAAGTTCTTTGCTTGTATGGCAGGAAAGTAGAGTTATGCTGCTCTTCTGTTGTACTGAATTCACATGGTAACGTACTTCCGCTTTTATTCTTGGTTGTTAGCCGTTTTATTTTGATAATGCTAATTGGAATCTATTAATTTTTAGAGCCAAATAATTCAAGATGTAAAACTATGATTAGGATTTTGATACACAGTAAATTTTTTTGTTTTTGTTGTTTTCACATTTATTTTCTCATATGCAGATGTTACTTTGTGGAGGCAGTTTAAGTACATATGAGGGATGTTAAAGGTAATTAAAATATATCTGTAGACACTAAGATTTTGAAGTTCAATTTGAGTGTTATTACTATTCTCATGTTTTAAATAGTAATATGACAAAAAGAATTTGTGATCCACCAAAATTGTCAGTTCCCATGGAGATTATTGGGGGTTCTAATCAAAATTGAAACTGAATCAGGACAGCTCGATGCAGGTTTTTTAATCTGTTCAACCCAGATGGGACAGGTTTAGGTTTGTATTGTTAAAACCACCACCCCCCCTTTTTTTTATTAATTAACAAAATAATAAAACAGTGAAAATTATATTAAGGGAAAAAAAAAAAAAAAAAATCTTAAAACACAAGACTCTGCTTCATCTCCTCCACACAGCTGCCGCCATCTTCTTTTTTCCTCTTCTTCCTTCATCTTCATCTTCATACTCCAGCTGTCTAGCAGTTGCACCATGAACTGATGGTGAAAATGGTCTCCATCACTTCCCATGGAGGTTATTTTCACCATAACTCAGTCCTGGATTTGAGGTTGTTTTGGGACAAAACATTCTGTACTAGTAGGGGCAGGTTCCATTTTGGTAAGACATGCCTTGTTGCTATCCTTAAGAAGCAATAGAATAAAACATTCCATTGAAGTTAAAAAAAAGAATCTGAAATGCATTTGAGATATTAAAAATTCTTGGTAAAAATTGTATAGATGCTAATTCGTAATATATCATACATGAAATTTATACGGTGGATATTTAATTATTAGATATTACAGAACGTATTAATATTTGTTATCGGACAATATAATTTATTTGATATTAGGTGGCAAACCCACGTGTAAAAATATAAAATAATGTGATACTTTATATTTAGATGATGAGTTAAGGGCACATCAATTTTATTAGTTATTAATGCATTCATAGTATTACTTGTTACTAGACTCCATTCCCAATTAAACTATTATTAAAATCCTTCAACTACATATAATTTTGTAACTATACAACTACTTTAGTAATGGTTAATTGAGGAAACCAGTAGAAGATTACAATTTTAGTGATAATGCTATTCTTAAATCATTCAAAATGAAATAAAGTCTCTCAAATTTCTTTCTTTTTTTTTTTTTTTTTACATATTCACATTCTTAATTTTTTTTTATTAACCAACTATTTTTTGAAGTATGATTTAAATTTACAAGTTTGTTCTTTTATATATGTTATTATTAATGATAAAAATTTATCTGTCACTCAATCATTTATGAAAATTGAATTTTTTCAATTATAATAAATAATGTGTCTAATATTTTTTTAAGACATAAGCAAAATATTATTTAAATAGAATTAAGTAAAAAAGATTTCTCACTTTAATATATAAATATATGGGTGCTTACAAATGAGTTCGGATTAAAAAAGTAAAATGAATATAAATTAATAATTCTTCTCAGTAAAATGTACAAATGAAAAATCTAGTTTATAAACAATTTTAAAAAAAATAATGTTTTACAAAGAATACTTTGAACACCACAGTCCTCCCAAACGGTAACCACTTTCAGGGTACTTCGATAAAAAAAAAAAAAAACAAAGCAGGACATTAGTGGAATAATGAAAATCACAAGGGCATTTTCCAAGGAAGAGAAAGTGGAGTAAAAGAAGGAAGAGGACTAGGGTCAGTTCCTAGTTGCGGACATTTCAACCTCTACCGTCTCTCTCCTCAACTTCAGGAGATCAATTGTGGAAGCAGCAATCCGAAAAAGTGAACAAAACGACGTAGCATCAGGATCAACACTTGCACCCAAGCCATAGATGCTCTCCTACCCTTCCTTGTCCGGATTCGGCCCTCAAAATGCCCAAAATTACAACGTTAAGCCCTAACCACCACCATAACCACCGTCTCTGTAACGCCCTCAGTCTTCTTCGACGCAGAGAAACAACTTAGTTTACGAGCATCAGATCCTCTGCAACAATGCCCCACCGTAACACCCCTGCACCCGCACTCCCTTCGGTTGTCACCCTCAACTGCATCGACGATTGCGCTCTTGAGCAAGACTCTCTAGGCGGCGTTGCATCCATCGAGCACGTCCCACTCAGTCGCCTAGCCGATGGCAAGATCGAGGCAGCCTCCGCTGTTCTCCTCCATTCTCTCGCGTTCCTTCCACGTGCCGCTCAGCGCCGACTCCACCCCTACCAGCTTATTCTCTGCCTCGGCTCTGCTGACCGCGCTGTCGACTCTGCCTTGGCTGCCGACCTCGGTCTCCAGCTCGTCCATATTGATACCTCCCGAGCCGAGGAGATCGCGGATACTGTAATGGCGCTTATCCTCGGCTTGCTCCGTCGAACTCACCTGCTCTCACGCCACGCACTCTCGGCTTCGGGATGGCTTGGCTCGGTGCAGCCGCTTTGTCGAGGAATGAGACGATGTCGCGGACTGGTTTTGGGGATCGTTGGTAGATCTGCTTCAGCTCGATCATTGGCTTCGAGGAGCCTGGCTTTCAAGATGAGTGTGCTTTATTTTGATGTTCAAGAGGTACTAGTTGGTAACGCTAACTAGCTTGCTGCATTTCCATTCTTCAATTTGAAGTTTGTTTTGTGCTTCTTTCCCTTTTTGGTTACCTTCCAGTGTTTCCATCGTTGAAAGTGATCCTTATCTTAATCAGAGCGAAGGTTCTATCCCGTTGGTTTTGGTGCTTTGGGTTAATTTGTTGAATTGAGGCCTAAGATTTTGGTTTCATTGCCCTGATAGTAACATATTTAATTGTTCAATTTGATCTCAAACAGCCTTCATGGTTTCAAATGGAAGGTGCCTCATGTTTTAGTGACGATTGTGTTCTATATTATTAGGGATCGGTGTTATGCTTTTTACATCAAGGTTTTAAGACTTGTGCGCTTTCTGGTGTTGTCTGTTTTATGTTCATTTTGCTGGTTGAATAATCAATGAGACGAATGCAAAACTGAAGCCTGAAGTAAGTATTAGAACTTTAAAGTTAACTTTTGTCCTGATACTTGGTGTTGTTTACAAACACCATGCTTGGTTATTGTTATGTTTTATTATTTCACTAGTTACAGAGGTTTTTTTGTTTTGAGAAAGCTAGTTCCACAGTTGATAGTTAGGACAACGTGAGTTTTTTTAATGTAACTGGTAGGAGATCCCTATGTATTCAAACAGTATTTAGCTACTGCAGCCATGGTATTCTACTATATTTGCATGCTCATTTTTCAAGAGCTAATAGTTCTCTGTTGATTTATACAGTTGTCTACACAATTGTTTCTGGAGTCAAGTGAAAATGTTAGAACTTCAAACTATCTGCGTATTTTGATTATTACAGTTTCCTTGACTAAGGAATTCAAGTATTAATTAGAGTGTGGGTGTTATCAGTGAACATGATGCACTCCAAGTCAAAGAGCATGAAACTAAAGTTTTCGTCTGGTCTGGCCACTCATGTTGTAACGAGTACTATAAGAAACACAGCTTTATCCATTGAAAGAATAGGGGAAAATTCAAATTGCTAAAGATTTTGGAGACTTTTAATTGACATATTTAACTCATTTTGGTTCTCAAAGTTATGTGATTTTGAAATTTATTCTTTGGCATTTGGACTTGTTCTGCATTAATGCTTTCTTGACTATTCTGTGCAGGGAAGTGGAAAAGTAAGTAGGTCTCCTATAATATTTCCATCTGCTGCCCGAAGAATGGATACTCTTAATGATCTATTAGCAGCAAGTGATCTAGTTTCCCTTCACTGTGCTCTGACAAATGAAACAGTTCAGATTATTAATGCAGATTGCTTGCAGCATATAAAGCCTGGTATCTCTATTTTCATCACCTGCGCGAATATATTTTCTGCCTTTCAAACCAAAAAAAAAAGAAAAGAAGGATGTATAATTCCTTGTATTCATGTAAATGTGATATAGGGATAACTTTTTATTTCCATCCAGGGGCATTTCTTGTAAATACAGGTAGCAGTCAGCTATTGGATGATTGTGCTGTGAAACAGCTTCTAATTGATGGCACTTTAGCTGGCTGTGCCTTGGATGGTGCTGAGGGGCCACAATGGATGGAAGCATGGGTATGATATCTATCAAATCGTTCAATTTTATGGCATCGACAATATTGTTCTTGTGCTTCTTTGGGAGATGACAACTGAAAAGTATTGTTCTTGTGCTTAATTGCTGGGCACATTTGTCTGAGTGAATTCTTCCTCTCGTTTCTATTGCTTTCCCATCTTGCATGAGTACAATAGCTACTTCCATGTTTGTTTTAGTTTGAAAATAAGCAGATTCTGAATTTTGAAGCTTGTTTTCAATCGTTACATTCTTAATTTTCGAGTTGTTGCAGCATAAACATCCTTCAGTTTGGTTTTCAGATGATGTAGCATATGTTCTCAAATTTTTTTCTTAACTGAAATTCCAATCTTGCCTACGTATTTTGTTTCAGCAGAGTTCTGTCCAAGAACATGCATATGGGGATGTGAAAATTCACATAGAAGAGAAAAAAATAGGTTACTGTATGGTGTGAGAGCGAGAGAGAAGAGTACTGGTTGCTTCTTTGTGGTGGTTGTATTTTTTGGCTACTCTTTGCGTGACTGTACAATTGTATATCTATGTGGTTGTTTAGAAAGAGAAGTGGATAGTGCCATTGTCTCTATGGTTGTTGCCACTTTTTTCTTTACTCATTGGATATGTGCAATTGGATATGTGTAATTACATGTACTTATAGAGAGAAAGAGAGAGAGATGAGTATGTGGTTCTCACTTCTATCTGGGTTCCTCTTTGGATGACTTCATGTACAATTAACATAATGTGCTATAATGCATTAGTTGCATGAAGAACGTTGTGTCATTAATCTTTCTGGTTTTTTGTTGCTTCAGGTCAGGGAGATGCCCAATGTATTGATACTTCCACGGAGTGCAGATTACAGTGAGGAAGTATGGATGGAGATTAGAGAAAAAGCCATATCCATCCTACAGTCATTTTTCCTTGATGGGATTATTCCCAAGAATACTGTTTCTGATGAGGAGGAAACCGAAGTGGGTGATGAAAACGATCAATTTGACAAGCAAGATAGAGGGTGCATACCACAAGTGTCCATGAGTGCGCACTTGACAAATGATATTCAAGTTAGTCCTGAAAGCTCACAGAAAAAGGGCACAATTCAATCAAAGGAATCTCCTAGTCAGCATCAGGGTTCAGTTTTATCTCAAAGCACTGGAACTAAATCTGATGGAAGGCGTAGCAGGTCAGGAAAAAAGGCTAAAAGGAGGCACGCTCGTCAGAAATCTCAACAAAAGTCTGATTCTGTGTTAGAAAAAGAAAGTACTTCACAACGAGAAGATGATACTGCCATGAGTGGCACTGATCAAGCATTAACTTCAAGTTCACGGTGTGCTTCTCCTGAAGATTCAAGAAGTAGGAAAACACCAATAGAAGTGACTCGAGAATCAACTTCTGATCAGCTTCTAAAGGTGAGCAAGAAGCTCGGTGGAAAGTCTATTGAGCTGCCAAAGGATGGGTATGTAATTGCTTTGTATGCAAGAGACAATTCTGCCCTTCATGTATCCAGGCAAAGAGTTAAAGGTGGTGGTTGGTTCCTTGATACCATGTCTAATGTAACAAAACGAGATCCTGCCGCGCAATTCCTTGTTGTTTACAGAAACAAGGTTTGTTGACTAAAACGTGTCTTTTCTTCTTGTTGCAAGCTTCAGCATATGCTTATTGAACCTGATTGTATGAATGGATTTTCATCAGGAAACCATTGGTTTGCGTTCTTTTGCTGCTGGTGGAAAATTATTGCAGGTAACTGTTGCCCATTCTTAAGGGGAATTGTCTCTAGCATTATTTTTCTTTTATATGTAAAATCAATTTTTACTGGTCACTAAAAAGGTGAGATTATAATCCCTAGGAGTAGTTCTCTTCCTGTTAAAAATGGGAAAAAAGGTCAACTTCGCCCCAATATTTAAACTAAACTTAATTTAATGAAAAAACAATATAAAGAAATGTTTTCTTTTTCTTTTTCGCTTTAGCCTAATCGGTTATTGGGAAGACTTGGACTCAAGTTGATTAGATACCTACAAAAGGGCATACCATCTGAGCTGATCTCAATAGGTGTGAAGAACTGTGCTTTCTTGGTAATTTTAGAGCACAATTTGGTGAAGTGGGATTGGATTTAATGTACAGATGTGGTTACCAAATGAGATTGGAATAATGTGACAACTTAGTGAAACTGGAATGATGTGGTTAGTAACATGTTCGATGTTATGTACCAGTAGTTCTCACAAGGCTACTTAATTGGTTATTACTTATTAGTATTGTCTTTGGGAATGGAGATACTGAATCTTTTTGTTTATGGGACTTTTATGAGACCTTGGAGTATCGTGCACCAAGAAGTTGCTGGGATATGTTTCTTTTTTAAAAAAACTGTTGCTTGTGTATTATGGGCAGTTTAAGGATGTGATCTCTTACCCATATAGGTAACGGTGATTTAGGGTTAATTTGTTTGCTTAGAGTTTTGGGGATAAAAACTTACACATCACTCCTAGGGTTCCTCATACATCTAAAAATTCTTAAATATCACAAAGCCAGAAAATTAAGAAACACTTAAAATATTTATTGAATAACTCAAGTCTGTTTCAAAAAGTGAAATAACAAAGATATATATAACATTTCTTATTCCGAAATAGAATTAGATTAAGAATACTAATATTAATAGGATTAGGAAATAATATTGCTAATACAAATAAAAAACTAAATATTAAAAGAATAGAATCCTAAAGCTACTAACTAAAACTACGGTAATATATTCCTAGACAGTAGAATATTCTTATTTATCAGAATTATTATTTCTAATCTATTTAGCAATCTAGAATTAACTGATTCTATATCATATATGTTTGCTATCATAAAAAATATGAGGATCCAAGTGTTAGTAAAAGTCAATCATTCCCTAGAGATTTTACTCTAAATAGTTTGGGTTGTGATGGTTTTTTCTTTTAGTTATTATCAGGCATCTAGGCCCTTTTTGGCAAATAAACCATTTTGTAGTTTTTATTTCTTAAAGTCACTTGTGTTTATAAAATAGATTTTAGAAACACTGTAAAATGTGTAGGAGTTGAACAATGATTTTAAGAACAGATTTTGAAATGTAGTATGATTTTAAAGTAGGTTTTAAAAACATGTATTAGTGAAAATGCATTATGATTGTAAAAATAGATTTTAGAAAATTAAAATTTAAAATTATTTTATATAACAAACAAAACAACAATGTCTTTTTTCTGCACCGAAGGAAGATAACCACTTTTAGCATGATAGTTACCACCCTTTATAGGTGGAAGTAGTCACTTCTGCCGTTCTATGCTTTGGCTGTAAAGTAAATGTGGTTAATGTAGTATGATTCTGAGTCGATTTTAGCATATGAAAATGCAAAGTTATTTTAATTAATGAACAAAGCCAAAATTTCTCATTCTTTTGCACCAAAGGAAGAGAAGTATTATTAGCATGATAGGTGCTGCCTTTTACATGTGGAAGTAGTAACGTCTACCCTGCTATGCTTGTTTCTTGTGAAGTAAATCTGGTTATGTCGTTGTTACTCTGAGGATTGAGTCAACTGCTTTCTTGGTGTGGCAGATTAATAGAAGGATGGAATTTGTATTTGCAAGTCACAGCTTTGATGTTTGGGAGAGTTGGACGTTGGAAGGTTCTTTGGAGGAATGCCGGCTGGTCAACTGTCGGAATCCCCTGGTAAATTTTTCCTCCTTATTGTTGTTGTTCTTGTGATGTGTGATTCTGCCATTTTAGATGCTAGGTGGGCCATAAATATGAACCCAAGTATGAAAGTTTTAATTGTAACAGGAAATACCCTCTTTGTCCACTCCTTTTCTCCCTTGACCCTTATTTACTCCTTTCGTGATATGGCTCTGTTGATGTGAACTGCAGGCTGTTTTGAATGTGAGCATTGAGATTCTGGCAGTGACAGGGGAAGATGACGGTGTTATGCGTTGGCTAGAATAGGTTGTGATAGAGTTCATAAGCATTAACCTTTTCTTCCTCATTGCATTTGTTATGTTAGGGTTGTATTTGTGCGAAAACAATTTGTAAAGGGTTCTTTTTTCTTCTCTTCTGCTGCTTTCCCCTATTTCACTGTTAGCGATTTTGTGAAGCATCATCATCATCATCTTATCACTCAATTTGTGTTTGAGGGTGGGTTTGGTGTCTAGATGAAGTTGATGTACTTTAGGGTGTACGAGAGATTTTCTATTTGTTTCTTCATATGTATTTGTCTGTTTTACTTCTGCTCATCTGGTGCTGTAGTATCTTTCTCTGCAACTCCCCGTCCATTTTTTTCTGGGGCTAACATTGTAATTGTGTAATGATAAAGCTACAACCTCGTGTGTGTGTGTGTGTGCACGCGCACGCGTGGGTGGGTGTGTGTGGGTGTGGGTGTGCGCGCGTGGGTGTGTGCGTGGGCATGGGCATGTACGTGCGCGGGCATGGGCATGTGCGTGCGCGTGCGTGTGTGTGTGTGTTATAAAACATTGAAGAATAACTGATAAATGTAGGCTTTATTAAAGAAATGACAAATTATAAATATGATTGACTAAATATTATTGCCTAAAAAAATTATCTTGTTTTACAAGAACATGAATCCATCTTATAATTAGACAAAAAAAAATTGATTGAATTAAGAATATGTAAAATTAATTGACAATGTACGGTATGATAATGCTTCCAATAAGCATAATGATCTTCTTTCTCTTACAGTGAAAAAAGAGATACAGAAGACGGATAATTTAGAATGGAATCATTCCATTCTGGAAACTACCAAGTGTAACTGAGTTGGTACGTACTGTAGATGGACTATTTTAGTGGATGGAGCATTACGACGGCTTTTAAGTTTTCTTGGATTAAATTTTAATGATTAAAATATTTAATTAATGGATAATAATGATAGTAATTAAATGATAATAATATATGATTGTAATGATGATTTTTTTACATTTAAGTAATGGTATATTATTGTATGTTAATAATATATTTTTATTTGAATAATAAAATAGTATGGTTGTATTTTTAGTTAAATTATTAATTTATTCTTATATATTATATGTAGTAATAAATTGTATAAAAAAATATGTAAGAAAAATATAAATAAATTATTTATTAATATAATTATATTTATATTTAATAAAATAAATAATAATTATTTATATTATTATATTAATTTAATTGTCATAATAAATATAAAATTAATTAAATTAAATTAGTGTATAATAAAAAATAAATAATATCTCAGTAAAATCATCAGTGATTTAAAAATTTATTCTAAAATTTGCATCAACGTAATTTAAACAAGTAGATTGTAGGAGGGGAAGGGAGTGGAGATGAGGGAAAAGGAGTGAAAACTGACAAAATGTATGGTAGTTGGTGTAGGGCAGTAAACCATAAAAGTAAAAACCAGTTGTGGTCCATGAATTACATGTGATGGCTGGCTTATACTATCGACCACTACCTAACCCAAATCTCGTACAAATGAAATCATTACTCCTTTCCTTTCCTTTTCAATCATTCCTTACCACATTCTTCTGTTTTGCTATATTATCATTTCCCCAATTCTCATTCTCATCATTCTCCTTTTTTTTTAACATAGGAATACGGTAATTCCTTATACCACCATCTTCCATTGCATTGGGATTAAGAGTTTGTCCTTTTTATGTCAAATTAGGAATCATTTTGACCTTGAATTGGGTCCGTCTTCTATTCATTTCCTCTTTAATTTATACTACAAGGTAGGAGAATATTTTGATTATTGGAAATGCATATTAAAAAACATTTGGACGAAGAATGGGAATTTCTCAATTTCCCATAGGGTCAACCACAAAATAATGAACAAGACGCGGATAGAGACAAAATTAGTACTCCCCACACCTCAAACCTCACTCCTATTAGGAAAATAAAACAAGAGACAAGTCATCTCCCACGAGCCATCTAGTTTCAACCACAGCCCTCTTCTCTTCGGTGTCATTTAGTCAGGATGCAACAGTAATTTTGACCCAACACGAAATTTTATCAGGATTAAATTCTAATTTTTCATGAGATTTTTTTATTTGAAAATTATTTACTAAATAAGTTATTTACGAAATTTATTAAAAAGTTTTATTTGGCTTCAAAGCATAATGAAAGTTAAAGTTTAAAAAACGACGTCGAAGAGCGCATACCAAATGCACCCCAACTGCTGCTTCTAGGCAATAGAGTACTCAGTTAGCACTGTAGCAATCAATAACGTGGCTGACATTACGCCACTTGGCAGCTACAGAAAATCCGTGGGACAATCCCAGCAACACCCTCTTGCCACGTGTACGGCTATTAATTCTCTCTTTTTAAAAGAAAAATCGAACGCGGACGTGATGTGGTTGATAGAAGTCTCCGTTTTTGGTCCTCTTCTCTATTTGTTTTCTTTGCTCGTCTAATTTGTACCGAAATTAAGCTGTACACCTTCAAAGGAAAACCAGAAGAAACTCAAGTCTGAAAGTCGAGCCTAGCACTTGATTTTCGCATTTCCGCTTATGGTGTCCCTTAATCCGAACCCTGCTCAGGGATTCTACTTCTTCGATCCCATGAACTTCGGCCTTCCTGGCCTCAATCCTCCTCCGCCTCCCGCCGCACCTCCTTCAACCCTGCCACCATTCCTGCTGCTGCGCCTCCGCCTACCGCCTCCACCACAACTGCCATGTCTTTTTCTGACGATACCAGTAAGAAGATCCGGAAACCTTATACTATTACCAAGTCTAGAGAGAGCTGGACCGAGCAAGAGCATGACAAGTTTCTAGAAGCTCTTCAACTGTAAGTGTGGTTATATCATTTTCTTTTCCTTTTTTTTCTCACTGTTAAGTGCTGAATTCTCCATTTTAGTTCGTCAATTCGGTAATTTTTTCGTTGCTTGGGAAATTGAGGAAGAATTCACGGGAACAATTTTTTTTTTTTTTATTTTTGTTTTCGTGTGTCAAGTATCGAGAACATTCTAGATTGAGGTGGTGTTTTCTCTAAGGAGTTATTTTTCTAAGTTCTCCGTTTTATTCATTTAATAGCACTAGAAAGGAGAATCCCAATTTTGTGATTGGCAGTGGTATTAGAAATTTATAGCAGTAATATATAATTGCAACAGCAAAAGAATAGATTCCTCTGCCCAATATTATTTAAACATGTTGTTTGAAGGTAGGATCCAGATCTATGTAAAGCAAGATTATGAGTTTATAAAAACTTAAAAGCTACTAATAGAATGTTTGTTTATAAGCTAAGCTACAGATCTTACACATTATTGAACTTTAATAGTTTCTTAATGAAGCAAACTAATTCTACCCACAAAGAATTATAGATTTATCTTTTAACTCGATATGGGATAATTACGAGAGAAAAACTTTAATTAGATAACTGAATTACAGCCCACATATAATTATCTTTAATTAAAGAGAGAATTCTAATATTCTTTCATTTGGCTAACAAAATTATTCAATATTTACTTTATAACCAGTTATTCCTTACTACCACAATTAAACATATTGTACTACAATATAAATCCTCAATAGAAGAGTCACTGTGCTTATAGCCATTAAAATTGAGAATTTTCTTCCATGCATCACAGTGAAAGATAGTTCATACTTAGTAGAGAATAAATTGTAGTGGTATTCAATTTCCAACTTTTTTTTATCAAAATAGATCACAACTCCATAGATGACAAAAATTTGATGTTCACAATTAAAAGTTATGTTTAAATTACTGAAAAACAATACAAATAGTCAGAATAAAGTTTGAATGAAACCTAAGAGTCACATATGAATTACATAATTCTGGAGTACTTCAGCAAGAAAACCTTTTGCTGTGGTATTAGAAATCATTGTCTCAGAATTTACCGGCTCAATTACGATAATTCTTTGCTTATCATTCTCTTACACCAAATAATTTATGTCCATACGCTTACTTTGGCTCCCACTTTTGTTATTATCCGAAAAGAAAACAGCAGCCTTATTATTATCACAAAAGATCTCTAGTGGCCTATCAATAGAATCAACCACTTTTGGGGCCAGATATAAAACTTTTTGACCATATTTCTCGTGATGTGGATGATGCAATAACTGTTTGCTTTATGCTTCTCCAAAATACGCATCCCCAACTGAGAGAAAAATCTATCCTAAAGTAGACTTTTTGGGTCCATGCATTGAGCAAAATCTTTATGTGTGTACATAAATCTGTAGTTTTTGGTCTCTTGTAAACATCTCAGAACCCTTTTGGTAGCTTTCCAGTGTTATGCTTGGAGTACTTTGATATCTACTCAATATCAAGTCTAGTACAAACCTGTGGGAACATAAGGCTTCTTATTGCAAAAGCATATGGTATACTTTTCATCTGCCCCTAGTCTGATGCACTATGGGGACATTACTGAATTTTTCTCTTTTACAGTGGGTGCAACTATTGGTGCGATTTTGCATTTTGAATTTTTCCAAAACTTTTTAAGTGCAGATGTTTCTAGATAGTCCTAATGTCTCTATGAATCTCTATGCCAACAACATAAGAAGCTTCATCACTATCCTTCATTTTAGAGTTTTATGCCAAAAATTGCTTAGTCCCCCAAAAACTGCTTAGTCCTGTGCAACAAACCCAAATCATTACATGCAAGCTGTCATGTTGAAACTGATTGTGAAACTAGAGGATAAGATGTTTTCTTAATATGGATATGGTTCTTTAGGTACATATATATACTAGTTAAGTATACGTGGAACTAGCTATATATGTTAGCAAGAATAAAGGCAAATAATCAAGGGATTTACATCTTAATGAAAAAGGTATAGAAAAAGGAAAGTAAATATCTGCTTATATTTTGAGTTTAATGGTAGATAGTAAAAAATCATATGCATACAGGATTAGAAATGTATTTGCTCGCACTTGGCTTAAATATGCATTGATCAATGCTTTTCTCCTCAAAAACCATGTGAGGATGGAACATTATGTAACATTATATACCATCGGCAGGATGCTGGTTTTAATCCATAAACAGATTTCTCTTAACTTGCAAACTAAATGATTATCCTTTCTTTTAAATCTTGAGGCTAATGCATGTATACCACTTCCTCAAAATCCTCATTCAGGAATGTAGTTTTCACATCCATTTGATGTAGTTGTTAGTCAAAATGAGCCACTGGTGCCATGATTATTCTAAATGAATTTTCCTTTGAAGCTGGAGAAATTTTTTTTATGGTAACTAATTCAGTCCTTTTTAGTTCAACATGAGCCACAAGTTTACCTTTATTTCACTCGACATTACCAGATGAATCTCTTTTGATTTTGTAGACACATTTACATCGAATTACGGAGGCTGCTTTGGTAATTAAACAAGAGCCTAGATTTTACTTTTTAGCCAATTATTCCATCTCTTCTATCATGACATCAGATGATAACATGGAATTTTCACCACTCATGGCTTTTGAGAACATGTTTGGATCATCTTTTACCCCGGCATAATAGTTAGAGTCTTGAAAATGTACAACATAATCATTAGAAATGACTGGCCTTCTAACTCTAGAAGCTTTTCTAGCTTCTACTGTTTCTTAAGCATCTTGAGCAGTAGGTTCTAGATCAGTAAGACCTTCATGAGTTTGTTCCTCATGAGATAGTTTTTTGTTGAATTTCAGTGAGATCTAGATGACCACTTTGAACCGCAATCAACTCAGCTCCATTTAGGTTTAACAGAGGTGGTTCCCTAATTTCTTGAAATAACACATTTTAATAAAATTCAATTTCATAATCCTCAAGGAATCTCGCATTTTTAGCTTCAACCATTTTCAAAGGTTGTGATGGAAAATGAAACTTAAATTCCTTAGGGAACTGCGTTGCCAATGAAATAACAATTTATTGTTTCTGTATCTAGTCTCATTACTACTCGACACCACAAAGATATGCATGTCTTTAACTTGGTTTTCCTCTATTTCATAATTGAAAAAGGTGTCTTACAGGAAGCTTTAGATGGAATCCTATTTAAGATATGCACGCAGTTTTTAAGGTTCACTCCATAAGGAGATAGGAAAACTTAGGCTAATAATCATGCCTCTAACCATGTCTATAGATGTGTGAGGATCATTTTGATGAATTGGTCTAATTCCTTTTAGCAGAACAAATTTGAACAAATACCAAATAATATGATTAGAGTGATAAATGTTAGAAGTACATAGAAATAATACGTAGTACAAAGAATTAGGGATATAGAGCATAGAAGAGAAACATATGATCCCCGTTAAGAGGCCAGACTCTTGGTTCAGTTAAGTCAAATAGTTGTCTTAGGTCAAGCAATAGAAAAGGAAGAGAAAGAAATTTGTGGATGAGGAACAGAGGAGTCGATACATCAAAGATAAATGTAGCATGTATTCCATATTAGAAGTAACATAAAGTTATCTAAGTTGTTTATTAGGTTACAATTTGCTTTGAGGAACTTCTATCAGGTTACATTTAAATGATTTGTCTTATTTAGCTTTTCTCTTTTTTTGGTTGCTTGACTCCTTTCAGGTTTGATCGTGATTGGAAAAAGATCGAAGCATTTGTAGGGTCAAAAACAGTTATCCAGGTAATTTGGAAATTTTGATCAAATGTAGGAAGTACTTGCATGTAGAAAAAATTTCTATCTATCCTGGTATAAATTTGGCATTTTTGCTAACTTAAATTATTTGACTTGAGCTTGTATGAAATAAGAAAAGTTAAATTTTGTTATTAGTTTGATTTGTTCTTATTTGAAGTCATTTGTCTCTTTGTCTTGTGTCTTTCTCTCAAAGATGAAATAATTAATTTGAAGAGGTTAGGCTGTTTTTAATTTGAATATTGTTATTTGTTTGATTTGTTCTTATTTGAAGTCATTTGTCTCTGTCTTGCATCTTTCCCTCAAAGATGAAATAATTAGTTTGAAGAGGTTAGGCTGTTTTTACTTTCAGAAAACAACATTCTAAATTTAACCGCCAAACAAACAAGTTTCCAAATTTGAAAATAGAAAATAAAGACTGTGTTCATATTCAATTTGTGAAAATGAAACTCAAAAAATCTTCATGCATCAAATGCAGCTTACATTACGGAAACGATAGGATTCATTTTTGAGTTGGAAGACAGGCTTACGTTTCAAATATTTTCTACTAATGCGTGATGACCACCCAGAATCAACTCAGTTTTGACAATTCCTGTCTATCTATTTAAATGTTTATTAAACAGTGCTTCATAAAATTCCTGACTGATCAGTCATGTATCGCAAGTTGATATAATTGCAGCACTAGGAGTCTTGCTCTTTTTAGAATCAAGTGTTTTACTCATCTTGCAAGACTTTACCACCTTGTATAACATGTTTCACCATAACTTATAGGTGAGTTTATAAAATCAATATGGTTAAGCACCCTGGGTATTGTAGGTCAGTATCTCCTGCATTCTTGTCATTTGCTAATAATTATTTACCTGCAACCATGGCTTGTGCACACGTATGCTTGATATGTTTGATTGATTGATCTGAAATATACTTTTTGCAGATACGTAGCCATGCGCAGAAGTACTTTTTGAAGGTTCAGAAGAATGGGACCAGTGAACATGTTCCTCCTCCTCGGCCAAAGAGGAAAGCACTTCATCCATACCCACAAAAAGCGCCTAAAAATGGTTAATGATCATTTCCATAGCTATTTGTTTACTTGCTCATGTACTTCGTGATCTTGTGATAATCATTGCTCACTTGCTAAAATATGTGGCAGTCTCCGCTGTATCACAAGTTAGTGGGCCATTTCCATCTTCATCTGCCTTGCTTGAACCTGGATGCATGTATAGGCCAGATTCGTTATCAGTGGTTGGAAATCCAATTGCCCCTGCACCTATGTCTTCTTGGAGTTACAACTCAGTGTCACCAGCTAGTATGACACAAGTGACTAAAGGTACTACTTTGACCTGCTTTTTCTTTACTAGGCTGGTTTTTTTTTTTCTTTTCTTTTTTTTTTTTTGTGAATATTACAATAATTCATGTTTTGCTTCAAATGATACAGGATTGGCTGGACCAACAATTGCACATAATTGTTGTTACAGTAGTACTAATGAAAATGCACCAAGGACTTGGGCTATTGATAAACAAGTTGATCAAGGAGATAATGGGCAGCCAAAAAGAGGTTGGTATCTTCTCCACTCCACTGTGAAGATGAAAAATATTCAACTAGCACTAGTGATGAAGGCACTGGTAGGAATAGACATGAATGCAATGAACCTAGACTGAGGAAATAAAATAAAAAGAGCTACATTTTCTCTTTCAGAACTGGTAAGTTTGACACAGAAATTCTTTGATGGTATCTAGATGTGTGAATTATGGTCGGAGCTCAATCACACCTCTTAACATCTTAATTATGCTCCATTAGGTCTCCGCTTGTTGTATTATGGTGAATAAATGCTATTTTTTTTTATTATTCTGGAATGTGGTTATTAGCATCAATAGATGGCCTATCTTTCTGTGAACTAGTTTACTAAAGTTTATGAGTATTCTACTAAAACATCTTCTCATATATGACTCCTTGCTGCTTTATCTCACTGCCTTTGTTGCTTTTTCTCTTTTTAAATATTCTTTGCAATTATTCAAGCATCTCAAGCTTTCTATAATTTAGATCATATATTTTTTATTTTTAACTTCTTTGATTACCATAATTCAAGTTGCTATGGCTTTCGTTAGCAGGATTGTCTCTATGTCAGCTACTACATTTTGTGAAACACTACATATCTTTCTAAGCTTATGCTGCCTTGCTGATTTTCTATACATGTGTTTATAATGACTTTAACATTTTCAATGCAGTTATGCCAGATTTTGCTCAAGTATACAGCTTTATTGGCAGTGTCTTCGACCCTAATTCAAGTGGTCATTTGGAGAAATTGAAGCAAATGGACCCAATAGATATGGAAACAGTAAGGCAGTTTGATACTTGATTCCTGGTTATGTTTTTATCTCCTTTAAGTTTCAGGGATTGATGTTGTATCATAACAAATATTCATCTGTGCACCTTTTTTATATAGTTTGTGAATTTTGGGGATGGGAATTTGTCATGTTCATTAACGAAGGAGATCACAGTCTGGAGGCATTTTTTCTGTTAACTTTTTGCCTGTTCTTATAACTCTTCTGTCCCCACCTATCCCATACTATGTGTAGTCTACATGGTACATTTTATTTTTTACATTATATAATAAGATTCAAGTTCAAGTTCTTGTGCAGCATAAGTAATTCCTGTTTTACTAAGAGGCTTCATTTGACTTATTTTCAGGTTCTGTTATTAATGAGGAACCTCTCCATGAATTTGAGGAGTCCTGAGTTTGAGGACCATGTAAGTGCTTTTTCCTCATAATGAGAATTCCTTCATATGTTTTGTTTCAAAGTATATGTGCTATTGGATTCTAGAATCTTGCAGCCAACAATTTTCTTGCCATTTGTCCTAAAAGTCTTATCTCAACTGTGTTTCATCCTTCTGTGTAAGTGTTGCCTTAATGGCTTATTAGTAACCGTGTCTTGAGTTTTTACAAAGTACTAATCCTGGTCAAGTATTGCAGACATGAGATAGAATGTTTTGCATATATAGATATGTATTGTCAATGTCCAAGAGAGGAGGTCGTAGCACTTGGGTATTCTCTTACCTAGTCCTGTTACTTGATAAAGTTTTATCCACATGAAGAGATTAAATGTAATAATTGGTAACAAGTATGCAACACCCGGGATAAGTACTTTGCTTTGTTCTTTAATATCTAAAGTTCCTATGAAATGATTGGGTGAATGCTTATTGTACTTTATTTATCTTATTCTTTTATCTCATCTTTTATTTTATTGCCACTTAGAATAGAATTGATTGCTGTACCCAGCATTGCATATTTAAAACTATCCCATTCTTTCATATCGCTGTGCTCATTCCATTTGCACTAAAGGATGTCTTCATTTTGCATACCTATGCATGCATCTGCGGTTTTAGGCTGTTGAGAGTTGTGTCATGTAGTTCATATTTTCATTTGGCCAATGGTAACTTGGGTACTTTCTTTCTAGTGTTAGATTGATCATTGTAGACATGAATCACAGAAGTCACAGAGAATTGTTATTAATTTCCCTTCGTCCAAAATCAATGCAGAGAAAGTTGCTTTCTTCTTATGATGTTAATGCCAAGAGGGGTGAAGTTGGTGGGACTTGTGAAAATCTTGGTACTGAAAAATCCAGAAATGCCATTCTCTCTGCAAAAAGTAAATCTAAAAATACCATTTTCTCTGCATAAGGTAATAAGAAACTACTTTCTTTTCTCATGAATGTTATAGCATCTTGCTTTTGGTTCAGAGTGTCTGATCCTAACACTGAACTGTTACTGCCAGGATGAGATGATTGACACATCGAACAAGCTAACCGGAGTTGTAGCATAAAATGTACGTAAATAAGATATGGTAGTGTGGTATAGGAGGCGGTTTCCCAGAGCTACAGGCTTGTAACCAGAGTTTGTCAATATATTAATATGTCGAGTGTCTTGTGTATATTATAATCTGTAGAAAGATGTCTACTTCTCTGAAATTTTAGGGCAGTACCTGCTAAGGTTTCTGTTCAGAGAGTGTGTTGTATAGAGGGTGAGGGTGAGGTTTTTGACTGTATACGTGCCTAGTTTTTTTAACCGCCATAATAAATGTCTGTCCAGTAGAGGTTTGCAAGCAACACAGTAAATTAGAAAGGTACTCACCCAACAAAAAACAAAAAAAAAAAAAGAAAAAAAAAAAAAGAAAAAACAGAAAGGCAATTGAAGGTATAAGTAGTATATATGTTTGAGAAAACTAAGCGTATATGTTTCGGTATCGTGACATAGGTTTTGTATGTATAAGTTTATTCGAGAAAACTCATTTCAAATAGACTATTACATGTATATACATATATTTTTAGACTTCTATATTAGTTTTGATTATTTTGGAAATTATATTATTTTTAACGTATTCTCAAATATCTTGGGTTCGGAGATAAATATGTTAAATCTTATTCAAGAGTTCATTTAATTCAAGAGTTCAAATATTTAATTTTAGAATTGGCTGTAATGTAAAATAAATTTGTATTTTAATAGGAATAGAATTAACTTAAACTAACCCAAAATCACAATAAGCTCAAATGAAAAATGTTGTAAATATTACTTTTTTAACCGTCAGGTGTAGAATTTTTTTTTTTTTTTTTTTTTGAAATCTCAATGTAATTATCAGTAAGTTTTAGAAATCATAATTTAACAATTAAAATACCAGACTTACATTTAACACTGTACGCTTAAGCTTCGATAAAACATCTAACCATCTAATGTTAATGTAAGGAACATATGTTGACGAAAACATTAAACAATTGACTATATTGATTACTCCATATTTCTGATAAGCTATTGATGAACATGAGAAACCACGTTACTGCATACTCATTATACAAGTTTGTCTCTATAACACTATCCATAGTGCTACCGTACAAACATCTAAGAGAAAAAAAGTTTAATCACAATAAACTGCGTTATATACCTTGTTATCTACTTTCCACTTTCAAAACGCCGGGCTCAACATCCAAAACAAGACAAAGAAATAAGGTGGATAAGGGTGGTGATATTTTATTTTGCCGTTTTCTTTTTGGTTAAAAACTGAAGAAAGAGGATCATGAAGCCCAAGGAAATACCAATATTAATTCACAATCTTCTAATTACATGGTCACATGCAATTCTTTCTAAAAGAAGATGCAAGGAGTAATAGCAAGCCTGAGCAGAGTATCAAGAATACATTGCAATTTACACAACCCCACACTTGATTCATCGATACCCGAATCCCATGTCTAGCTCATGTCCATATATCCCGTGACTCTGCCCACCTGCACCATATGGGGGAGGAATCTGTTTAGACTTCGCCCTTAGCTCCATATCTATAAGCCTTTGCAATGCCTCTGAATGCTCATTTCTACCAGCATCATGACCTGAACATTCAAAATAACGATGCTTATTACTCTTTTAAAAACATCAACGCTGTATTTTCTTCCATCAACCAGACCGATAAGCCACGGGATGATATAGACCTCCAGCATGTTGCCATAGAAAAATTAGCAGAAGCTAAGGTAATTTTATCCATTAACATATTTCTTCATAGGCAAATATTTCTTTTTAAAAAGTTAAACATGAACAAGTTGTACCATCTCAAAGAAGTCCTTGAACTCCTTGCCTCCGGCAAACTTATCCATCTACTCTAGAAATTACTTGGCCATAAATTTAACCAACATATACTTTGATTTGATATGGCACACAGATTGCGCTCAAAAGATTGTCATAAAAATTATTTTAAAGTCCCTTTCCCTAATGGACGGAGAAGCAAGAATCTAAAATTCCCCAAATTCAAGTAATTAACGAAGCAAGTCAGACAGTGGTGCTTTTATTACCTGGAGGTATTCCAAGACCAGCAAAGTTGGGCTGCCGGAGACCCAAAGGAAAACCTTGCATTGGGTTCATCTCTGGTATGTAACCAGTTGGTTGGTTGTTTGAAGAAGGCATCGGTGCACCCCTAGGAAATCCTTGCAATAATTGGGGTGGAGGAAAATTTCCTGGAATATGCATTTGTTGTAACATAGGATGATGAGGCGGAGGATCAAAGTCATCCAGTCCAGAACTAGGATGGTGAAAAGGGGGGCGAATCATATTTGCTGGGAATTGATGATTTGGCGGATCATGACGAACAATGCCTTCTGGCGCCATGAAATTCACCTGAGAATTAATATTAGCACGATGATTATCTAATGAATGGAACATCGGACCCGCATGATTCAACTGAGAATGAAGCTGTGGGGACGATGGCTGGACATTGAGATTATGGAAAGGAAAATCAGGGTCCCTCACATCATGAGGACCACGAAGGAAAGGCAGACCATCTTGACATCTCACAACAGATCTTTCATCTCTTAAGACTGAATTTAGAGCTGCTAGTTTTTCAGCAATGTTAACTGGCGATTCTCGTTCAGTTTTAACCGAACTCCTAATAGGCATGAAGTTTTGGAGGTTCAGAGGATTACTTGCAGCAATTAAACTACCCTCTTCAGGAAGCCGAATGTCAACGGAACCATCAAATCTACTGCATTTAGAGCCTGATTCTGACTGGAGCTGTGACGAATCCATATCCTTTCCACGGCCATCAAAGCTAATAAATTGCTCTGCAAAATTATCTGATTTCATTTGCTCTCTTTGGTTTGGTGCCGTAATGTTCTTTTGATAAGTAGTCCTGTCAGATCCAAATGGAATTGTAGAATGAAGGCAATCATCTTCTGTGAGTTGAAGAGGCAACCCATGAGATTCAGGAACATCTACTTTTGCAGACAATGGTGCTCCTATTGATTGGAGTTCAGTCATGAAAGCAGTCCCAAAAAGTGTTTCAAGAGTCAATGCCTTTCCTGAGCCAGCAACATTTTCAACAGTTGCCTCTTTTTTGTCATTAATTGAAGTGCCAGTACTCCCTATTTCAACATTAGGCTCTTTTTCCAAAAATCTATCATCTAGAATTGGAAGCTGTACCATGTCTGGTGGACCTATTCCCCTTTGTAACAAAGAAAGAAGGTGCTGAGAGGCATGATCATTAATATCCAATTTTTGCTGTTCCATCCTCATGCTCCATCCTTGCAAAGGCGAGGGTGAAGTTGGAGTATGATCATTTTCCTTGATTTCTGATAAAATAGACTGCTCAAGATCCTCACATGTGAGGACACCTGGAACAGCTGCTGATTTCTTAACACTACTATTGCAGAACTGTTCAGAGTTTTCAATTTTAGCACATTCCAAACTTGCTCCTATGTGCCTGTCTGCACTTTCAGATCCAGTGAACGGAAGTTCTGATGAAAACTGTTTTGTAGCTTTCACATCAGAAATCTCGTATCCACCTCTCTCACCACCCTGAATCAGTGACAGTAACTCATTTGGCCTGCTAGATGAAATGTCATCAACTGGCTTCTTCTCTGCAGGAATAAACATGAAAGGAAGATTATATACTAACATAACGCAGAACATGCAAACAGAACAAAATAAGATCGTATCCACCCAACAGAGAGGACTGTTGATAACATACCTTCCTCAAGAAATAGATAAGCAAACTTGGAAGAATGGACAGCCTGAGGGCTCCATGTTTCATCAGCTTTACCATCACGATGCTGGCAGAATAACAACAGAGATTAAAGAGATATTTTCTATTGATTAGAAAGGACAGATTTTATCCCAATAGATTGAAATTTCACTTAGAGAGAGGAACATAGAACAGAGATAAGGAGTGAGACATTTCCAACCAATTAGAAGAGATATCAATCAGAAAAAAATTTCACTTAAAACAGAGGATGAAAGAACACAAACTTTCACCAACTTCTCTTGATTTATTAGAACGGCTGGGGCAGAGAGAGAGAGATATTTTCAAACCTCCAGAAGTAACACATGCATATGCAGTTCACTGATGGACTTTTCTCTTTTTGATAAAAGAAGAAACTTCATTGAAAAATGGAGGAGATGAAGTAATTACAAAGATGATCACTCATCGACTTTTTCCCTTGCCTCACCCACACATTGAGGAAGGAGAAAAGACAAAAAAAAAATTGAACTCATCAATTCATCCTGATATGCAAGAGTTAATGTCTTAAATTAGAATGGTGACATATATATTCTTCATCTTAATTTTATGCAGAGAGTGGAAGCTTTATCAATTAGCCCACTGGTACAAGGTGAAAACTTTAGATTGTCAGACTTCTAGCTGGTTTCCTTGCACCCAAAATAAAAATACATGTACCATTTCTTTATACATTTGAAAGATCTGCATATGATATTGAAAAACATGAAAGTAAATTCGGAGGATTGTTTTAGATGATTCAGAATGTTCTATGCAGCATCTGCTTTTTAACCAACCATATAGTGATGGATATTATAAAATTCTCAAGAGATTTTACTTAAAAGAATTTTGAATATAAGAATAAATGGAAATATGAAGCGATGGAGGAGGCGGAAAGAAAAGAAAGGAAAATATTATACCTCAATGAAGCTAGAGGAGTCACCACCATTAAGTGTAATAGCACTACCAAAGAGCTTATCTAGAATGGAAGGCGCAGGATCCTGACTGGAACCATCCAAAAGTTTGCCCTTTGCTGTCTTTACTGAATCAACTTCTATAATTTCACCATTAGTTGGTACTTCAGTTGGCTCTGAAAGATTAGAATCCTTGCACAGTTGGTTTCCTATGCTTATTTTACTCGAGGTGGATGCATCAAAGGCTGATGATACACTCAGACTCTTGTCACTCATGTTATGAGCTGAAACTGGAACACCCATCTTTTCCTGCTGCTGTTCATCAATTCCCACCTGTACCGCAGATTGTCTCTCCTCATGATTACTTGACGTTCCATTTAACAGTTGATTGCCTTTAGCATGCAAAAGACCACCCTCAGGCTGAGAATTTGCAGCCTATAGAAGGGGCAGACATTTATGCTTAATAAGGGGGGAAAGGCAGTTGACCAATTTAAAACCAGGAAAATAGGACTACTTTAATCGTAAGCTTTGTAGAACAACCAGCAAATAAACTTTAACATTGGGCATTGAAAAAGAATGCCAGAGATCATTCCAGGCAATTAACATGCAGTAAACCAAGCAGTGCTTCATAATGGCATAAAATGGTGTCATACAGACAAGAAAGAAGTAAATGTAACTGAAGGAGATGCAAGTAAAATGCTTTCCAGAGGAGAGATGCCAGTACTAAGATAATTTCTTGACACGAAAAAATCAAATATAAACATGAGATTATTACCTCAGATGAACGGCTGTCACTCAAAGTTTTTGCCACAAAGTTTTTTTCCAAAATTGTGCTCCTGAAACCTGGAGGTACAAGAGGTCTGGATGCAGGTGCTTGTGAGGGAAGAGATAACTTCTGAGAATCATTATCTGGGACGGGCAGCACCACAGGCTCATTGGCTTTATGACTCTTATTTGGAAGTCTCTTTTCATCTTTGGAATCCTCAAGCAGTTCAGTAATATCAAATTCATTTTTACGCCCTTCCGGATTCAACTTTTGCTTTTCTTGAAATGATTTATGCTGCTCCTTCCTCAATAACTCAAAGGAAGCTGAGAGGAAGATAAATATTAACAATTTTAGCTCAGTTTAAAGGATAACAACAATAAAATAAATTACTTCCCAGTTTTCAGAAGTAAATAAAACCTAAAAAATGGTAAAAAGTATTACAACCAAAAATTTTTATATAAGAATCCTTACCTCTTCTCTTTCTTTCCTCTTCTGCTCTATCCTCACTTGTATACTCTGAAGAACCAAAGGTTTCATCATTGTATGAATCTGTGTCCCTCCGTGAATGAGGTACTGCCTGAAGCATATAGGGACTTGTAAGTAACATCACCAGGATATATATTTAATACTCCCACCAGCAGTATTTATTCCTAATTTTGTTATATTTAGTAGTTTAAGGTGGATAAAATTGCACTGAACATTTGTAAGCATATCTCCACAATCAACGCTACTTGTAATGTGATTCTGATTTTCATTAAAAAATTGCAGGAAATGCACATAGAGAACCTTATAAGGTCGGGGTGGATGATATGGCTCATTTGTCGTACCAAGCTGGTAGCTATCATTGGACCGAAACCTTGGAGCAGATGCCCCAGCTGAAAATCCGGATGGTCTTGGGAAAGAACCACTCCCAAGAAGTCCATCATGCTCAGGAACTTGCCAAGACCGCCGAGACTGGGT